GCGGCAAAGTGCGCGACAGGTACGAAATGGGCACGGGCGAGGTTGCCTGGCCCGGCTTGGAAGTGTGAGGCCTCGATCCGGGCGCCCCGCGCGGGGTGCAAGCTTTGTGAGCCCAAGCTTGGTGACATCCGAGAGAGGGGTTCCGCGCTGCAAGCTGCGTTCTCCCCAAACCGAGAAAGCAAGGGTTTGTTGCGTCTGGGAAACACACGCACACATGGGAAGGAGCTGTCGCCAGCTGTAACGCCGGCAGCGTTTGTGAGCATGTTCAAGTTGAAACCGTAGTTTGCAAGTTCAAAAATGTCAGTGGGGAGGCCTTCCGAGAGAAGAATTTTAGCCTTACAATATGTGATTTACTCCAGAGTGGAGCAGAGCACCTGGAATTTGGCTCCCGTTCCTTCCAGCACAGTTGATTGCTCAGCTATCAAGAAAACCGTGGTTTGCTGCCAGATTTCCCTGGGTTCTCGACTTTTGATCCTTTAGCTGCTAGGCCCATGCTTCTTCCTGCTAAGGCAGTTTTGGAAAAGTGAATTGGGGCAATCCTGGACCCCTGGACTAGAGACTCCTCTGTCACATGACCAATCCGGGTGTTCTGCGGGGCTCTCCTAACTGTAGGATCCTAGAAATGTTTTCAAGAATATTGGGTCCTTCCTTCCCTCTAATTCTGGCCACCACTTTAATAAGTAAGGAGCAGAATTACATGGTTTGTGGGGTGGGCGAAGGGGGAGCAGATGGGGGTACTATGAGGGGCAGGGAGCTAGTCACAAACCGGATCAAACCGGATGTAAAATAATCGTAAAGGGGGTTAGAATGAAGAAAAGCAAAGTCAGTTTGTCCCGGTACAGAACAAATATATAGATCAGGAAACAGGCTCAGCCAGACTGGGTGAGAGTTCGGCTGAAGCAGGACCAGCCTGGGCTAGTGTCAAATCCAGCTGTCACTGGGTCTAAGGGTGAACAGTTGGACCCCCTAGGTCAAGAGGCAAAACTGAGCACATAGATAATTCTCAAACCTTGAAAGGTATTGTTAGGTTGGGAAAGCTGTTCCCTGGGGCAGATTCGTCACCACAGGTGTCCTGACCACAGTGCACCCCTGTTACAATAAATCTTTCCGCCAAAAGCCACCTGATCCCTACAGCCACATGGGCCATCTCGGCCAGCCTGAGTTCTGCCCACCGAGTTAGGGGCCCAATTAATGCACAGAGACTTACATTAGGTACAAATGCTGCTTGGCCAATGACTAGGATTCTCATCTGTAGGCTCAGTCTTAATTATCATAAATCTATATATTTTATAAGATTTATCTTATGGACGCCTTCTATTGGCGCCTTCCCTTGACGGTGGATCACATGGCGAATCTGGAGGAAGAGAGTAGGGGAAAAGGGACCACTTCCTGCTTGTCCTTTCTTAAATATGAGTCTCCCTGCTATGTCACTTCCTGCCTGGATCACCACTTCTTTACTACATTTCCCAGAATCCTCCCGCCTAACATGCTTCCTCATTGGCCAAACAGTACTTTATTCAACAATCGATAAGATGAACATACACAGAAGTACTTTCCCCATCACACCCCACCCACCTGGGGCTCCTTTTCCTCACCCCACAGCCGGGTTGATTTTCATGTTATCCAAAGGAAAGCCTGTGTGCATCTCTTACAGGTGGGTGGTCTTCACCAGGCTGAGCACACAGATTTCATTCTTTTAATTAGAATGTCTTCTGTGGCAGACATGGTAGCTGTATGCCGATATCCGGGCAGAGGAAGGGGTTTGCAGTGGATATTTCAGGGACCCCATAGTAGAGGCCACCTGCTGCCCAGTGTTCACCCCAGGACACCTGTGCGTACTGACCCTTGTAGACTGCTGTCCTAAAGAAATGCTGGCTCCTAAAGCACTGGAAGATGTTATCTGAATGCCCTGCCTGTGGGCTTTGCAGCTCCTGGGCTTTTCCATCCCTCACTCTCATCCTAGGTTTCTAATGCTGGGAGGTTTTGCTTGTTTTAAGTTATTGTTAATGCGGAACTGGGGGAGTAGCTCCGTGGGTAAGAGAGTGCTTTGCCTGGTGTGCATGAAGTCCCAGTGGCCCATGCCAGTAATCTCCACACAGCAGGATCAGAAGTTCAAGGTCATTCCATGTAGATCAAAGCTGGCCTGGGCTGTATGAAAACGTGTCTGTATGCTGAAACAAAATAAAATACTATCATTTCCCGAAAGTCCCATTCCTGTCCAAATGAACTCAAATCACTAAGAATGAAGGCAACTTTTGTAGTATGTTGAAGTCTCCCCCGGGGTGGTTGGTCTGCTGTAATTAAAGGGTTTTACAGAGAAGGGGAGGGTGTTGAGAACATATTGAAGTATTAAGGATAAGAACTCCTGCTTGAGGCTGGAAAGACCTTGTGTACTGGGTACTGGCTATTGTCCCACACAGGGAAGGAGCTCAGAGTGTTGACCCAAGTAGGCTGACACAGGCTGCATTCCTTCCCATTTAAGAACTTGAGTGTTCTCACAGGTAACCACTCCCAACCTGTGATTCTTCAGATCATCAGAGGATGTTGTGTTCATCATTACGATTATTGTGGCTTTCTGTAAATACCGCTAGTGTAGAGAGAAAATGTGCCCTTTGCCTCTCCCTGCTTTTCTGCTTCCTGAGGAGTCAATAAAATAAAACGGTATTGTTTCTCTTGTTTTGAACAATAAATCCTTCCCTCCCTCCTCCCCCCTCGTCCTCCTTCCTTTCTTTCTTGCCTTCCTCTCCCTCCTTCCTTCCTTCCTTCCTTCCTCCTTCCTCCTTCCTTCCTTCCTTCCTTCCTTCCTTCCTTCCTTCCTTCCTTCTGTTCTTTCTTTCCCAGAGGATCTCACTATTGTAGCAGTGGCTGGCCTGAACTTGCTGTGTAGACAAGGTCGTCCTTGAATTCACAGGGATACACCTGCCTTTGCTTCCTAAGTGCTGGCTGGGATTCTGGGTTTTACCACCCTGCTCAGCACGAGCAATACATTCTTAAGATGATATGGTCTGGGATGGAGGGAAAGTCAGTCAAATGAGTGTATGATTGACATTGGGCTAAATCCATCCTGTGAGTTAGCCCGTCTAAGGTTGATTTTGTGGGCTAGATACGAATGTCTGCATCCCTCGGACCTAAGAAGTCAGTATTAGACAGAATGACATGTCACCTAGGATCACAAACCCAGTCTGTTCTGGGGGTTTTGAATTCAGATCTCCGTGACTGCGGCACTCACTCTTTCTATGATTCAAGTGTGTGATACAGAAAGGTAAGAAGTGCTTAGGAGCAGGAGACCCTGCACAAAGGCATTCAACCTCTCCGAGCCTCAGTTTTGTTTGAAAAAAAAATGAAGTTGACCTTTATTTATTAAAGGATGATTGATATTCAGAAGCAATCTTGCCGGCCAGAACTCAGCTTGACTGTTGTTTTCTGCCCTGAGAATAGCACAGCTACTGGTGTTTCTGGAGGGCAGGGAAAGAGCCCCTTGCTTTATTTTGTGTCTGGATTTTCCTCTCTATTGCCAACTACTGGAGGTTTATTTATTTATTTTTTTATTTTTTGCTAGTGTTCTTGGGCCACCACTTGAGCTTGACTTTGTCCCAGCTCCCTGAGCTGTGAGGTGTTCAAGGTCCTCCCAGAAGATGCTAACCTAGGCTGTCTGCTTTGGGAGTAGCTTCCCTCCTTCACCTTGTAAATGTCCTTATGCGTCAACCGTGACTCCATCACCTTCTCTGTCCAGACCCTTCCCTGAAGCCGGCTGTCTGTTTCTCATGCATGATTTTATCATCATCTATTGATAAAGGGGACCCCCCCCCCGATAATTCCTCTTCTCATCTCCCATCTCCTCTTTCAGGCTTAGTCCTTCCTGCGCCCACTGCATCTCCACCCAAACCCTGCTGGCTAGTTTTTAACTGGAATGAGATTTTTCATTTGCCCTGGGCTCAGGGTGACAGGATAATGAGGCGGCTGTCTTAGTTCATTGTCCTTACTGTTGAGACAAAACACCTGACTAGGAGCAAATTAGGAAAGAAGGGTTTGCAGCAGGATGGTGAGGCCGCTTGTCAAGCTGCGTCCACTGTCAGGGAGCAGAGAGATGAAGGTCAGGGTTCAGCTAGCTTCACCCTTTCTGTGCAGTCTAGAAGCCCCGCCCATGGGATGATACCACCCACTTAGGGTGAGTCTTTGCACCTCAGTTAATTTAGAAGTTTCCTCAGGAGGGCCCAGAGGCTATTCAAGATCCTCTCAAGCTGACAGTCCCTATCAACCATTATAGTAGCCTTTTAACCGTTTATCAGTTTTTGTGCAGTCCCAAGGTTGAATTCTCTCAAAGCCAGATGCCTTTTGCCTTTTCAGTCGCAGCAATTAGCAGGGAGCCACCGAGCACCCCCTCCCACTTTTAACATCAGCATTTAGTTCCCAAGTCATTACATGGTGGTCTGGGCTAAAGCAGAGGGGCGGCAGCTTTGAGAGGGGCTATTTTGGGTGGATGGGAGCTGAGAAGATTCAGCCTAGAGGAGGACTGATGACCAGAGATGATGCGTTTGTTTGAGTACATACGAATCTTGTCTGGGGATGGGGCATGCTGCGAGTTACTGAGTCTAAGAAGTCTAGAGCACACGTTGGCGTCTAATGAGGGCTTGCTGCAACCTAAGATAGCAAAGGGCATCGCATGAGTGCTAGAGGCAGCTCCTTTTGGAGACAATAACTTAAACCAAACGGATCTGGGCAGACCTGCACCATCTACCGTCAGCTGCCACACCAGGGTGGATAGGTGGTTCTGAGGTGAGGGAGAACTAAAGGAAGCTCTTGAGGGTCGGGGAAGGATTTCTGAGTGTATGTCTATCTGCCTCTCTGCCTCTCTTCAGGTTTTGGATGGTGGTTAAGGAAGATGGACACATGGTCACTGCCCGCCAGGAGCCTCGCCTTGTGCTGGTTTCCATCACCATGGAGAACAACTATCTGACGCTCGAAGCTCCAGGCATGGATCAGATGGTTTTGCCTATCAAGCTGCCTTCGTCGAATAAGATCCACGACTGCAGGTGCTCTGCTTGGGGACAGTAGGGAAACTGCAACAGACACGATTTTTCCTTGCATTTGTTACAGTTTGTGTCAGAACTGTAGAAGATGGCCTTGGTGCAGGAAAATACTGAAGAGGGGTTAGACTATAGGGTGGGGCTTGACTGTGAGTGGCTGTTAAGGGTACCTAGTTCTGGCTTTTGTTTATTTGTTTTTTTATTTTACTTTGGAGAACGGGGGTCTAACATCCCAGGTTGACCTCTGATTTGTTGTGTAACCAAGGGTAACTTTGAACTTTTGGCCACTGTGCCTTCACCTTCTGAATGCTGGGATCACAGCCTATACCACCATGTTCAGTCTGTATGGTGCTGGAGCTTGAACCCTGAACTTTGTGTGTGCTAGGCATTCACTGTACCAACTGAGCTACAGCCTTGGCCTTGGAATTGGTTTTAAGCAAGAATGGTAAGAGTTGCAGCTGATGAAATAAATGGCTGTCACACAGGAAAAGCTATCACTTACATTAATGGGTGCCTAGAAGTAGGTAGAGCTAACAGAGCGAAGCCTCGGGCTGGCCAGAGACAACTTGAGGAAGGGTAAATTGCAGCCTGGAGCCTTTGCTTGGGCTTCTGCAGGAAAGAGAAAAAGCAAGGGGTTAGGCAGGGTTCAGGTTAGAATAACTTCAGCAGGGGTCCCAGGACATAGCAGCTATGTGGCTTATAGCCCTGACACCTGTTCCCTGTAGGTAAGGACTCAATAAAGGAGGGTTTGCAAGTCATGCTTGCATGTGACAACACTATTGTCTCTAGGAATATGTCTCTAGCTGGCCATAGGAGTAGCTGTCCCTTCTCCAAGGCCTTCTACACAGCGAAGCAAAAAGCATAGTGGACACAGTGTGAAGAGGTTTATTTAATAAGGCGCACACATGCAACACTGAGGCCGTAGAGCTCAGAGGACAACTTATAAGAGTCCATTCTCTCCTTCTGCCATGTGTGTTCTGAGGATCTTAATCCAGGTCTTCATGCTTGACAGCAAGTGCCCTTGCCCACTGAGCCAGCTTGCTAGCCCTTGGAGAGACATCCAAACAAGAGACTTTACCAGTTGACCTCAAAGCTGGATAACAAGCACGCTGGAACTTCCCCGCCTCCAAGTGTACTGTTGAGACTGAGGACTTAGGGCAGGGGTATGTGTGTGGGCAGGGGCAAGGCCTCAGCTTTGGCATCTGTTTATGTGTGGGTCCTCTCGATGACCCATGCATACTGGATTTTGCCAGAATTTCGTGTGTGTGTGTGTGTGTGTGTGTGTGTGTGTGTGTACACTACTAAGAATTAGAGCTGGGAAGGCCTTGCTCTTTGATGTTGGGAAATCACAGAAACTTAGGTGTTTGCTGAGGGATGGTGCAATGTTGTGGATCCTTTGATAACTAGATGAGTGCTGGGGTTAGGAGCAGGGCTCTGTGCAGACTAAGTGAGCTGTGCCGGGGTACTTCAGCTGGGCTCCAAATGTTTGGGTGTTTTCTCCCCCAGTGGTGAGTTCTTCAGCATACACCAGCTGGTGTCCCACACTCCATGTCTAACACAATCTGCCTGGAGACAGCGTCAGATCCCCCAGAGTAAGGACTGGTCTCCTGAAACTGCCTCCCACTTCCGACACCAGTAGCCTGAGACAGTAGCTGTGCTGGCTGGAGCTGGTGGCTAGCTAGTCGTGGCTAGCCTGAGCCACTTCCATAGCCTAACCCTCTGGCCCACCAACTATGACTTGACTGCACAGCCTCCTTCTTGGGGTCAAGTCTTCAGAATGTGTCACGGAATTCAGGAAACACGTTTCCCAGTTACTTGCAAAGGGTACTCCAAGGCTAAGGAGGAGGAGGAAGATGAAGAGGTTGGGGGGGGGCAAGGTGTGTGGAGTGGAGCTCCTGTGTGCTTTCCGGGCGTGCTCAGAGAATGATCTGTGATAGCCATACTGTAGATTTTGAATGAGTGAGTTTACTAAATGTATGTCAAGCCAAAGTAAAAGAATAAATAGCAAGAGGGAGGCGGCAGACAATAGCAAATGTCATCAAATCGGGTGCTCCATACGTCTAGCAGAAATCAACTCAGGAAGCCCCTTTAAGACAGACAGCTGTCGTTCCCAACAGAGAGTCCCAGTCAGAGCAGAGCATCTGTCCCCCAGGCGAAGCTTCCAAGTAAAAGATCAAATAGCAACAGACAGAGATGACGTCATCAAATGGGGACCTCCAAAATACAGCAGAGACCTCTGGGGAAGTTGAGCCAGTTAGCTAGAGTTCCCAACTGGGCGTTTTCTCTGTGGCTGAACTTTGGCCTTCTCTTTCCATTGCCTGCACTTTTATATTATGAGATAAACAATAGTTGAAAATGGTTTACCTTAAGGTGTTTTGGGGCACAGTGTTTTCATTCTCAGGCTGTTTGATCCTCGCTGCCTTAGAGGAAGGGGGCAGTCCATGCCTGGATAGAGGGCCCCTCGGGGCACTTTGAAACACATATGCTCTGATCTGAAATGCGTGAAGAGAGCCAACCCTCTCCAGAGCCAGCTTCACCAGGGCTCAAACAACACTGTGTGCTAAGCAATCTGGAAGCTCTCTGAACCCAGCCCTTTGGGCTTTTATTACATAGGTGTGATTGATAAAAATAATTAGCCATTGATAACTTAATCCTCCGCTTCTGCCCCTCCTCTGAGGTCAGGGGTGTGGTAGTACGGGTCGTACTAAAGTCCAAATCTCTGATCTTGGAGGGGGATCCCCTGGCAATTAGTTCTTGAGGGAGTTGGTTCATCTACCACATGGGGCCTGGGAATTGAACTTTAGGCAAGGTGGCAGTTGTCTTTACCGTTTGAGTCTTCTTGCCAGTCCCATGCTTACGTTTTAGTGGAAGAGGAAGGAACTTCCTTTTTGGTCTCACAAAAAGCCCTTGAGGTCTAGCTTTAAAGACTAGCTAAGCTATAAAAATAAATAAATAAATAAATAAATAAATAAATAAAATTAGAATAAAGGTTTAAAAAAAGACTAGCTATAAGTAGCATTTGATTTTACATGTAATTTGACATAGATGTATATGCAGGCATAGTTAAGTTACAGACAGAAGTAGCAGTTGTTAACCATATCAATTTGTTTCCTAAAAATAAAAAACAAAGAAAATAGTGGCTTTGACCTTGCAAAGTCCAACAGAAGTTTTATTCTTTGTAACTGAAGAGAGACCAAACCAAAAAAAAAAAAAAAGGTAAATGAGATAGGAAAATGTCTTAGTTATTTTTCTGTTGTTATGAGGAGACATCATGACCAAAGCAACTTATAAAAGAAAGTATTTTACTGGGGGACTACAGTTTCAGAGGGTGAGTCCATCCTGGTGGGGAGCATGGCAGCGGGCAGGCATGGGTGAGTCCATCCTGGCGGGGAGCATGGCAGCGGGCAGGCATGGGTGAGTCCATCCTGGCGGGGAGCATGGCAGCGGGCAGGCATGGGTGAGTCCATCCTGGCGGGGAGCATGGCAGCGGGCAGGCATGGGTGAGTCCATCCTGGCGGGGAGCATGGCAGCGGGCAGGCATGGGTGAGTCCATCCTGGCGGGGAGCATGGCAGCGGGCAGGCATGGGTGAGTCCATCCTGGCGGGGAGCATGGCAGCGGGCAGGCATGGGTGAGTCCATCCTGGCGGGGAGCATGGCAGCGGGCAGGCATGGTTCTGGAGCAGTAGCTGAGAGTTGCATCCTCTCAGGAGGTGGGGACATCAATCTAAATGAGAATGGTACAGGCCTTTGAAACCTTAAACCCTATACCCGCAGTGACACCTCTTCCCACAAGGCCACACCTCCTAATTCTTCCCAAACTGGTCCACTAACTGGGGACCATGTACTCAAACATAGGAGCCTGTGGATGCTATTCTCATTCAAACCACCGAGGAAGGGCAGAGGCATGCTTTTCATTCCTTACCACAGAGCGTGTCCTCTCTGGGTCCTCAGTGAGTTGGTTTTCCTCTGGCAGCAAACCTCCTCCAGCACACACCAGCTGTCGTCCAGCACAGCGGTCCTGACTCCATCCCATAGCATCTGCTCTCACAGGTTAAGGACTTGGTCCCTTTAGACTATAGCTGACTTCAAATGCCAGTGAGGGCGGCAGCCTGACTCTGACTTACTACCTGCTCCTTGGGTGCTGTTCGTTTGCTGGAGTGCCTCTTAGGAGCTGAGAACCGTGTGTGCCGGGTACTTGTGAAGGACATTCTGAAGGCTGAGTAGGAGAGGAATTGCACAGGTAGGGAGTTGAACTCTCGTGTGCTTTCTGGGCGTGCCTCCCTTTACACACGTCTAGGTGTTCAGCAGTTGAGAAACTCTCTGAACATAGTCCTTCAGGCATTTATGGAAACTTTATTACATAGGGTGCTTGATAAAATTATCAGCTGTCGATTGACTTAACTTTCAGCCTCTTCCCCTCCCTTGGCCGTCAGGGACTATGGTACTAGAGTCCAGCTTGCTGATCTTGGGCTTGGCTCTCCTGACCTCAGGCAGCTTAGGAGCCCAGCCATCAGTGAGCCCTGTAACACACAACTGTCCTTCAGCTTCCTACCGTCGGCCCCCGTGTGGACTGTTTTCCCAACACAGTGTGGCTTCCACTCTGTGAGTCTGGCAACCTGTGTGTTCATTCTTTAGTTCATGCTCATAAAAACTGTTCAGCGTTTTTCTGTAATATGAACACTACTCTGTGAGTATTCTTTAAGGTTTATGTTTATCAGTTTTAAGGATGATGATGTGTGTGTATCTGTGTGAGTCTGGTGCAGGGCCCCCAGAGAGTATAGATTTCCTGTGTATGCCAGGTTCTCTGGAGCTGCAGTTTCAGGCCATGGCGAGTCCACTGAGTCCCCCAGGAGAGCTGCAAATGCTCTTAACCACCGAGTCATCTCCAGCCCCCTTGCAGACATTCTCATGTGTGTCTTCTGAGAGCACACGTGCAAAGTGTGGAGGTCAGTTCTCTTCTACTATGTGGGATCCCGGGGATTAAACTCAGGCTGTGAAACTTGGCAGTAAACCCCTTTACCTGCCAGCCCCAAGACATGGATTTTAAGAATAGGCTACCTGGATCATAGCATTTATTTATTTACTTGTTTGTTTAGAGACAAAGTCTTGCTGTGTAGCTCAGGCTGGTCTAGAATTCTCTATGTAGCCCAGGCTGGCCCAAACTCTTAAATCTCCTGCCCCTGACTCCCCCATGCTTAGATTATAGGTGCATAGAAAACAGGAGGCACTAGACATGCCGAACTGTTTTCTGAAATGAGGGAGCTGATTTGTACCTCCTCAGAGTGGGGGCCATTGAAGTTTGGGGTTAGTTCTTCCCAGCAGGCACAGGCCTGGTCGAGGAATACCTGCTGTCAGTTGGAAGGACGCTGGTTGTTCGGCATCCTCTTGTCCTGTTGGGTGCTTTCTACTTTTCCAAGAGCCAGTGCCAGTCTCCTGTGGGGATGGATGGTGTGGGTAGAAGTGTGTGCAGTTACATATGGCTGGTGTTCTGAAGGAGCTATAGGACACTCTTGGTACCGCTCAACAGTGATAGGATGGGTTTTGAGTAGTAGAGTTTTAGAAGAATGGCAAAAGGTCAGTCAAGGACCAAGAGGGACCCATAGATCCAAAGAGTGCTCTAGGAAGGGTTTCAGATAGAAGGAAGGGGGCCTAGAACAGTCCTTAACAGAGTGTCAGGATTTGACAACAGGGGTGTGGTGGTAATGCTTGTGATCCCAGCTCAGGGAGGTGGGGGTTTTAAGTCTTCAAAGGCTCAGAAGTTCCAGCTATTAATGAGTATTCTGGGTGTTGCTGTTGAGCGTCTTTGCACACATCACCTCAGGTATGCTCACACTGGCACAGACACAGCATTCACACGTGTATCTGTGTGTGTGCAGTTCTCATGGTGTGGGAAGGCAGGGGAAACTTCCAAGCAATCAATTTCCAGATCCTCAGATCCATAGTTTGCACCAGGGCCCCTCCCCACTGCCTTAGTCAGGGTGTCGCTTGCTGTGAAGAGACACCACGTCCAGTCCACAGCAACTCTTATAAGGAAAACATTTAACTGGGGTGGGGGTCGCTGACAGTTTCAGACGGTCAGTCCATTATCGTCATGGCAGGGAGGATGGCAGTGTGCAAGCAGACATGGTGCTGGCTACGTCTTGATCAGAAGGCAGCAGGACCAAGCGAAGCTCCTGCAAAAGAGACCTCAGAGCCCACCCACACAGTGACACACTTCCTCCAACAGGGCCACACCTACTGCAACAAGGCCACACCTCCTCATACTGCCATTCCCTTTGTGGGCCATTTTCTGTGAAACCATGCCCCCCCCATTGTCATGCTGGGAGTGGAACCCAGGGCCTATGTGTGCTAAGTGAGTACTCTACTACTGAGCCAGTCAGGCCTCATTCCTTCGTTTTGTTTAAAAATGGAACTTTATTGTGCTTCTTTTTACTGCACCTATGCTGAGATTGGAATGATACAGAGTCAACTAGCCTGGCCCCTGTGCAAGGATGCCACTCAAATTTGCTAAGTGTTCCATATTGTTGTCAAATAAATATAAAAATAAACAAATAGATATTAAATTTTAAAAAGTAGCTGGGTGTGGTGGTACACACCGTATATCTCAGCACTCAAGGAAAAGGCAAGTGGATCTCTGTGAGTTTGAGACCACGCAAGTCTACATAGCACGTTCGAGGCCAGCCAAGGCTACATATACATAGTGAGACCTTATCTCAATCCCTTTCTCTCAAAATATCAATGAATAGGGTTTTGCTATATAGTTCTGGCTGTCCTTGAACTCAGTATCCTCCTGCCTCAGCCTGTGGAGTTGGAGGTGTATGCCGTCATTCCCAGCCCCTTGTCCTCAGGGCTATTAACAGAAGGAAACGGGCTTGGTGATTCATTAGGGAGGTGGAAAAGGGTAACTGAATTTGGAGCCAAGTTGGGCAACACTGTGAAATCCATAATTACCTCTTGGCTACACTGTGAGGCCTTGCTTGGGGCAGGGGAGGGCAGGGGTGATACTAAACCTTGTCTAGAATTAAGTTAAGATTTATGCATATTCTTAGGATTCATTAATAAATTAATTTCAACTAAAATCTGGTTTTAATATTTAGAGATCATCCGAATTTACAACATTACCCATTTTATAATGATTAATTACTTTACAAATCAAAATTGTAAAGATAACTTAATCTCTCCCAAATTATATTAAAAAACAGAATTGTATTGGTTCAAAGGAAATATTTTAAGAGATCAGTAGTCAGATATCGGTATGATATTATGTGAGAGGAGTGGAGTGTGTTCAAGAATAAAGAGGTGAATGATCCAAAACTTTGCACCATTTGTCTGACACGGTGGAACAGCACTGTCTGAGGCAGGAGGTTCAAGGGTAGCCTCTACTACATAGCAAGTTCAAGGCCAGCCTGGCCTACCAGTGACCGTGTTTCAAAAACAGCAACAATAACAACAATAGTTGGTCTATTTAGAGAAAATCTTATTTGTGTATTTTAAAAATGGATAATGGTAGATATCAAACTGAAGACATTTAGTACTCATTAGGAAAAAAGTCAAGTATAGTCTCATTTTAAATGTCAGTGTTATATAATTCAAGGAGATTATGTGTTTCATAAGTTAAAGTTAGGTTGAAATATTTACATACCAGTGTATAAGCTCTGTGAAGGGCACACAATTTTAATAACTAATGTAGAGAAGTCAGTTAAAACCAAACCAGAGCACAGCAGAGATCACAGTGTGGTCCGACATCTGTGTCCCTATGTTCCCAGTTGGGTAGGCATAAATGTTTATCTCCAGTTTATAGCTGGAGGCAGAAGTGGAGGCAGAAGTGGTAAGTTTACTTAAGGCAACAGACCAAGGGAATGACTGTTTCCAATGAGGTCTGAGAATTCCCTGCCAAAGGTGCTCCTGCCTCAGGCAGCCCCACCCCATCTGAAAGAAACCCGAATCCTTGGTATTCGTAATGGAACAGGGAGCTGGCCACTAAGATGGCTGGAAGCCTATCAGAAACACATCATTCCAGATTCCAGCCTCAACCCACTGGCCCAGAGTCTGCATCTGAACAAGTGTCTAGGTGATCCGTAGACACAGAGCTGGGGAGATCTTCCCCAGAGCATGTCCTGGACGCTGTCCTGGCTCCACTCTGAAGACCTCTTAGCAGCCTTCTGGTGTAGTCAGGCCACCGTCACTCAGTGTGTCAACACAAGTAATCTGGTGTTTCCAACCTTCCAGGCTATTTGGTCTCGACATCAGAGGCAGAGATTGTGGCGATGAGGTTGCTCAATGGTTCACCAGCTACCTGAAGACACAGCCCTACAGGTTGGTTCAGTTTGATACCAGCATGAAAGGAAGGACAACAAAGAAACTTTACCCTTCTGAAAGTTACCTTCAGAATTATGAGGTGAGTGTGCAGTCTTCCTTCATTCTGCCAGTCACTCTGGGTCCTCTGTGCTTCCTCCGCTGTCCAGAGAACCTCTTGGGGACTTCAGTGAGGAAACCCTGCCCCTGGTTCGGGAGGGTGGTCCAGGGTGCAGGCTATACACTAGGATGGAGAGGGACTTGAGGTGAGGGCTGTCTCAATGCTGGACTTCTGGGGTGCATAGAGGGTTAGGTATGGGAGATGTGTGGCGGGAGGAGCCAGGGGTGACTCCTGGGGAGATGGGGACTCAGGAGGAAACTGGCTGGAAGCTGAGTGTGGTGGCTCATGCTTGTAATCCCAGCACTCAGGAGGCTAAGACAGGAGGATTACTGTGAATTCAAGGCCAGCCTGGGCTAAAGGCGAGACTGTGTCCCAGACAGGAAAGAAAGATAAGAAGCCTGGTTGCAAGTGAAAGTGAAATGTTGGGACTAAATTGTATGTCCTTGTATGATGCAGACTTTGTCCAGGCCACCTTCACTGCCTGGGTATGTGACGGCTATGTCATAGGCCAGGAAGGCAGTTCCTGCCAGGGAAAGCTATCGTGAGCCAGGGTTTAAGATGCAAGCACCCAGGGATTCACCTCCAAAGCCAGGGTTATTTATTATTATTATTAATGTTATTAGTGATATTATTATTTATTTGCTTTGTTACTAATGTTCCTCACCTAAAATAGTGTCAAGTATGTACCAGTGGCCAGTAGGTTTGAGCGAATGGTTGGCACTGATGAAATTATTACTAGAATGTGCTGTATTAGCAGCAGATTCCTTCCTGTGTGATCAGAAAATAGAGCAGGCCGACCAATAATAGCCCACCGATGTAGTGGAGGTGCACACCTTTAATTCAGCCATTCCTGCGGTAGAGGCAGGTGGCTCTCTGTGAGTTCAAGCACAGCCTGGTCTACCTAATAAATTCCAGGACATCCAGGGCTACCTAGTCCCGTTCTCAAACAAATACATAATTTAATAAAATAACAAGAGCCAGCCCAAGCTGCCGCCTTGTCTGGCGTGTGGATAGAAGCCAGGTTTCGGTGCTCACACCCTGTCTACGAGCCCCCTCCCCTTTCCCTCTCCTGGATATAACCCTCTCCTCCTGCACTTGAGATGTTTTCTCTCTGGACCCTGCTGGGCTTTGGTGGGGAGGCCTGGCCTGACTGTCGGTGTCCTGTAACAGGTAGCCTACCCAGACTGCAGTCCTATCCACTTGATTTCTGAAGCCTCCTTAGCTGATCTCAACACCAGGCTGAAGAAGAAGGTGAAGATGGAATACTTCAGGCCAAACATCATGGTGTCAGGCTGCGAGGCTTTTGAGGAGGTAAGGGGCCACTGACTCCGACATCGAACTCAGGTGTGCTGTCCCCAGAGCTGGTGAATATGAAGTGACCCAGATTCCCCAAGGCTCCTTCCCCCAGATTGTCTATGGTCTCTGTGGCCGCTAATGGCCTCTTGGCCTCCAGGGGGCGCTGTTCACATTCTCCAGAGCTCACCAAACTCCTGTAGCCCGGGCATAAGGAAAGGAAGACAAAGAGGACAGCGCCCCCACCACCACCCAGGAGTATGCACCAAGATTTCAGTTCCAGGTTCCCACGTAGAGGCTATGAAGGTACAGGAGCTGCACCATGGACAGTGCCCTGTGACGGCCCTTGCCCCCTTGCTCCTTTCACTGCAGCCTTAAAGGGACACTTACATCAGGCGCCGGTGAACACAGCCCCCACACAGTTAGGAGCTGCTTGGTCCTGATGAGAAGCATCGCAGATGTTCTGAGCGCGGGGAGGAGTGGGCTAAGCTTTCCGAGTACCGGAAGTAACCAGGACAAGTGTGTTTAAATGGGTGCGGGTTCCTGAGCTGAGTGATGACTTCACGTTAGGCTCTCCCTCAAGAGAGGGAAGTCTGCAGCACTGCTTAGGAAGGCTCCCCAAATGTCCAGCGGATGAGGTGTGCGGCTGGCATTACAACCCAAGGCTTGACACCCGCCTCTGGAACTGAGGCGAGGATGCCAGTGTGGAAACCCGGGCTGTTAACACCCGGAGAAGCTCTTGAACATCGCAGCTCTTTGCTCCTGTGGGTGGCTGTGTTTCCCTCCGTGTGAGCAGAATGTGCTGTTGTTGGTCTCCATGATTCGTCAGGGTAAATCTTTGCACAAAGCCACTTCAAGCCTATGTCCAACAATTTGTCAGTTTTAAAACAGTAGCAAATGCAGAAGATGTCTATTAGCTGATGCTATCCTGCTGTCTTAGCTACTTTCTTGCCACTATGATGAAATGTCCCTTAAAGGAGAAGGGGTTTGTTTTGGCATACAGTTCTGGAGGGAAGAGAGTCCATCATGGCTCAGATGGCATGGTGGCAAGAGCAGGAAGCTGGCTGGTCACGTCACATGTACCCTCTGGAAGCAGAGAGTGGCCTGGAAGTGGACGGGGCTGTAAATACCTGGGCCAGCCCCTAGTGACCCAGCGATGCGCTGCCTCTTAAAGGTCCACCAACCACAAGCAGTGCCTCCAGGTGGGGACCAAGTGTTCATACCCCTGTGTCTTGGGTATGAGCAGTTTGGATTCAAACCATACCAACTGTCTATACAATTTGCTGTTAAATTTCTTTAACTCATATTTTGGGGGGCGGGGATGTTTTAAGACAGGGTTTTACTGTGTAGCTTTGGAGCCTGTAGACCAGGCTGGCCTCATATTCACAGAGATCTACCTGCCTTTGCCTCCCAAGTGCTGAGACTAAAGGTGTGTGCCACCACCCGGTGCTTCTCATATTTGTTAAATTTTAAAACTTGGTCATCTGTTATGGGTAAGACACTGTGGCTCAGATCCCTGATACAGAAATGAAAAGATAGGATTCTGGATATGAGATGTAGTCTAGGCTGGCCTTGAACCTACTCTGTAGTCCAGACTGGCCTTGAATCTACTCTGTAGCCCAGGCTGGCCTACATGCCAGAAGAGGGCACCAGATCTCATTATAGATGGCTGTGAGCCGCCATGTGGTTGCTGGGAATTGAACTCAGGACCTCTAGAAGAGTAGCCAATGCTCTTAACCACTGAGCCATCTCTCCAGCCCCTTATGTTTTTATTTATTTTTTTAATGTTTAGGGAGTTTATGCTTCCAAATCCATTTTCTGTTATATTTTTGAATTATGATGGGCTTCCGGAAATAGTAAATAAAATGTTCATATTTTTCTAGAAATTTCTATAGCCATGCTTATTCTTACCAAACTTCTTACTATGAAGGGATGCTACTGTTGCTGATTTAGTCCGCCTTAAGTGAGGAAGCCCCGTAGGGAAGGACTTGCTGCACTGACCTGTCTGTCTCCTGCATCATAGCCCTTTCAAATATGAATGCAGAATGATTAAGCACAGATATGTTGAATCCTCGTCTAATGAAAAAAAGTACAGCAAACCTTAGCACGATGCCAAAGTCCAGGCCATTGTTTATTGTAGATTTGGGGCAGCAGGAGACTGCACTGTGGACATTGGAGCTTGTGGTGCAGAGTACCGTGGACTTCTCCCTGGGGAGTGAGAGGATGCCACTGATTTTTAAAAGGCTTGGGACGGTGTGGTGCCTTTGATTTCTGGGACACAGGGATGCGGTTTTAAAAAAACGACATCGGCATCTGCTGCTTATCTCTGTCACTGGCCACCATGGGGCTCGGTGTTCCCTGGACATTGCTCACTGTCCTGAGTTGAACTTGGAAATGTTTGAAGGGGGTATCTTCCTTATGTAAGTCCTCACGCTACACTTGGAAAGAGCTGGGGAGAAAACTGCAGGGAAAGCACAGTGTGTTCTCAGTCATGTGGGAAGGGCTGTTGCTACAAACTTCTGGAGAGGGAGTTTTTATATTTGTTTGTTGGGCCTCAGACTCCCGTGTAGCTGAGAAGAGCCTTGAACTTGTTGCCCAGTTCTGGGTTCCAGGCATGTGGTTTGCGATGTGCCAGGAGTCAAACCCTGGCTGCACACACTGGCCAAGTACTCTATCAACTGAGGCATGTCCTTAGTGCCCAGTCTCATTTGATCCAAGAAGCCAGGCAGGGTTAGCCCCGGTGTGCACCTGGATGGGGGAGGTCCCCAAAGCCAGACAGTTGTGGTGTGAATCCCAGCCCACCACTCACTGTGGGTGTGGCCTTGCCCTTACATGTCCTGCTCATTCCAGCAAGTGAAAGGCCACATTTTGGCAAATCTTCACTTCTAGTCCTTTGTCTCTGATGGCCTAAGTTAGGACAACTTCTGTGTTTGCCCACTTGGCCTCAAGGGCCTAAGTTAGGACAACTTCTGTGTTTGCCCACTTGGCCTCAAGGTTTTTTTTTTTTTTTTCTTTAAAATCTGTATGTATTTATGTTATATGTATGGGTTTTACCTGTTTGATGTTTGTGAATCAAAGGTGTGCAGTGTTCATGGAAGTCAGAAAGAGGAGTCAGAGCCCTGAAACTGGAGTTACAGATGGTTGTGAGCCGTCATGTGGGTGCTGGGAATCAAACCCAGTTCCTCTGCAAGAGCAGCGGAGTCATCTTCCCACGCATTTTGTTTTTTGAGACAAGGTCTCGTCTCAGCTGGCATCAGCTCTTTGTGGTTGAAGATGACCATAGACATCTGTCCTTGGCTTCTCCACTTCCCAAGTCCTGGGCTCACAGGCATGCACCACCATTCCTGGCTTTGCATGTAGTTATAGGTACAGATTAGACATTGGGTCTACAGCACGCGTAATAGTGGCCACCGTATCCAAGGTCTGGAGAGATGGCTCAACAGGTAAGAGCCCTGGCTGCTTTCACAGAGGACTGAGGTTTGATTCCCAGCACTCATAGGGCGGCTCACAACCCTCTGTAACTGCAGTTCCTGGAGTTGCTCTCTTTGGGCTTCTTCGGGCACTGTATGTATGTGGTACACAGACATGCAGGCAAAACGCCCACACAGCAAAATAAATGAATAAATAAATAAGCAAGTAAAATTCTCAGTGCCAAGTTACAGAATGGAGCCCATTACACACAGTATTTCCTTCTTTCTCCTGGACCATTTCTTTTCCTTTTCCTCACATTTCTTCCAACTCACAAATTCCTCCTCACCCTGACTAGATAACTAGGGACCTGATTTTGTTAGCGTGCCCACGTGTTTTTCAACCAGCAGGGGGCAGACTAAGCTCATCCAGTGGCCTCTGGAATCTTGCTGGATAATGTTATTTCTTTGTGGTGTGTATGTCTAGTGAATATTAAACTTATCCATTATGAATTTAATTTTCCCATTATTTGAAATGGATTGTTTCCTTTAGGAACTGAAGTAACCATTGCATGTAAATTTAAGCTTAGTCCTTTTCAAAGCAATTAGTGCTTTCAAACCAAAATGTGGACAACGATCAGATGAGGATGAGTGACTTTATTAACGTGAAGCGATTAACAGTGTCAAGACACAGAGTTAGCATTTGGAGGCATTAATGACAATGCTTAGGAAGCCAGACAAATTGCTAATTGCCTGGCAGTTGACTTTTGGAACAGAAGGTGACCTAAATCTGCTTTCTTGGCCTAAGACTCTAATTGAACTTTTCAGGGTTTGTGGCTTTCTGTTAAAGCCATGATGCAGAAGTCCGCAGACAAGTAGCTTGGAATGTTGAACTCATTGTCACTTGGAAGAAGGAAATTGAATACAAGATGGTTGGAGAGGTCTTGGATTCCCCAGGCTGCTGGTGGCTCATATAACTGTGGCTGCAGCGCCCTCGTGTGGCGAAAGGAGACCTGAAACCTTGGCTGCATACAGTCCTGGGCCCTTTCCCCTCCCCAGGCAGGCTCTGTTCTGTCACCCTCCAGTGGGAGGTTTGCCACGTGCTTCCCTTGCAGTTCCAATGTTTGAACAGGGTCTGTCGTAAGTCACAGCTCTATTTGTCTCATGGTGTGACCTTTGCTTTTACAAAGCTTGCCTAGCTCCTGGGCCAATTGATTGCTTGGAACATGGAGTTTATTCTCATCAGAAACAGTTTTCTGGTGGATGACGGGACACGGGGTATCTGTGGAGGCCTCTGTACTGTAGCTGTGGTCATACTGGTCTGAGTTTGAAGACCTACTTGCTACTGGGACACCAGTTGTGCTATGCTAAACCATTCCTGTAGGCCCAAGAGAGGAGCTAGTTTGCCTCCAAATATGGAGTGGATCATGATGCCATAGCCAGTTGCAGAAGGAGAGACCAGACAGTGCTCGTCCCTGTCCTTGCTCTGCCTTCTGCAGAAACCTAGGTCCCTCTCCGGCCTCGAGAGAGTCAAAAGCACCAGCTAAGCAGGGATGGACTCTCTTCCTGGCTTCTCTGCACACCAGTTAGACTTGGGATCTTCAGAAGCCTCAGCCGGTTGAGGTCAGTTTCCAAGGAGCAGTCTCAGCCTGTGGGTCTTGGCCCTTTTGGGGGTCGTATATCAGACATGCTGTATATTAGATAGTTACATTATGATTCATAACTAGCAGAAATACAGTTATGAAGTAGCAATGAAATAATGTTATGTTTGGGGGTCACCACAACATGAGGAACTGTATTAAAGAGTCACAGCAATAGGAAGGTTGAGAATCACTGTTGTAGATGCTGTTGTTTGTTTATGGGGCCTGTATTAAGACCCCATCCTCAAAACCCCCCATTTCTCCCTAAAGACCTAGACAAAGGATTGTCCTGTTAAACTTAGTCATCAGTGTGTCTCAGCAGGACAGGCACAGACCTCCAGATTGTGTTCCTTCTGAGACAGGGCCATGTGTAGCCTGGGCTGGCCTGTGGCTCACCGTGTAGCCAAGAATTGACTTGAGTCATGGAATTCCTGATTGTTGTGCTGCTATCTCCCAAGGACTGGGATGACAGGCGTGGGGCATCATACTAGGTTCCCAAGTTACTTTTTGTTAGTAAGAGGGACCATAACCTTTATGTATGTGCCTATGAGCGTGTGAATGTGTGATATGAAATATGTAGGTGTTCAAGGCACTGTAAACGGGCTATCCCAAAACACCATAGTCTTGCATATTGATTCTTTTGATTTGAAGATGCTTAAAAAGGCAAATGCAGGGGATCATGCCAATATTTGAGTCTGTGTCTCATGTAGCCCAGGCTATTTGTCCTTACCAGAGACTGAAAGCTGGGGCTGTGGGATCAGCACAAACACACCCAGGGAAGCTCACCTTTCGGGGGTTGGTCTTGTGTCCTCTGTCTTGACACTCTCACAACTGGCTGCTCTTTGTCCCATGTGGTGTGTTAGAATCCAACTCCAGCTGTGTCTTTAGGCCTACTCCATTATGAAGGCATGGATCATATGAAATTTATATTGTTACGTGTGTGTGTGTGTGTGTGTGTGTGTGTGTGTGTTTGTGTGTGTACACATATATATGCTTTTCTCTTTATTTCTGTTTCATGTCAACTTATTATCAGACTCAGCTGAAAAGTTCCAAGAGGATAGGAGGTATTTTGCCTTGTGTAGGATGTGATCCACGTTATCTGTGTTTATGTGGGTGTATGTACAGCCAGTCCTCATAGATTATCTGAACTGCAGATAAAACATATTTTGTGTCTGCAGATAGGGCTCAGTGGTTAAAAGTGTGTGTTGTGCAATCATAAGGAACTGCACCTGTGTAGTCAGCCTGGCATCTCATGAACACCTGTAACTCCAGCTCTGAGGATTACAAAGCCATCTCCTGGCCTCTGCATGCAAACAGCTGCAGGCACCGCTCTGCCCTTCCCCCAGGCACATATACTCATTCATACATATATAAACAAATATATCTTTAAAAAAAAAGAATGTTTTAAAATACCGGGGGAAACATCAGCACTGAACTGTCCACTTCCTGGTCATTATTTCCTGAGTGAAACCATGTACCTGTTACTTACTTTTATCATTGACATTCCATTTGGTATCATAAGCGAGCTAAAGATGATTTAAAGTAGGAATGTATGCATAGATTAAGAGTCAGTACTAGGCCATTTCACTTGAGGATTTGGGATTCTGAAGGGGGTGCTGGAACTAATCCCCCTGTGGACGGCAAAGGATACCGAAATGTGTACAAGTGACAGTGTCTGTAAACCATATGCAATGTTATGACACAGTGTGTTTTATGTGTGTGCACATGTATGTGTGTTTATTGTGTGTGTGTGTGTGTGTGTGTGTGTGTGTGTGTGTCTGTGCATGTGTTTCTTTTTTAAAAAGTGACTTTTACTTTTTTGTGTATGTGTGAACGTGTGTGAGTCTGTGGGCACCATGTGTATGTATTACCCATGGGGGCTGGAAGAGGGTGTCAGATTCTCTGGAACTGGAGTTGTGAGCTTTCATGTGGGAAGCTGGGAAGTGAACCCAGGTCCTCTGTAAAAGTGGCAATCGCTCTTAACCACTGAGCCATCTCTCCAGCCCCAGTGTGTGTGTTCCTGTGTACATATGTGTGTAATGTTTGCATATGTGTTCATTTAAGTGTATATACACACATATATGTATGTGTGTGTACATCTGTGTGTATGTGTTTATGTATATGTGTTTGGTGTATATGGACGTGTAAGTGTGTATGTGTACACATATGTTTGTGAATGTGTGTAGATGTGTGTTGGTGTGTATAGGTATATAAGTGTGTGTTTGTACACATAGCTAGTTGTGTGTTTGTGTGTATATGTCACATATGTGGGTGGATAAAAATGTGTGGGGATTACAAGCCTTGCCTTCACAGTAAAAGATTTTCAAACCTGCTTCCTCCTGGTGTGACTTAACATTTTATAGTCTTCTGCCTGTCTGTCTCTTGGGGGAAATGGGAATCACAGTAGTACCTTCCTTCAAGTCATGAGGGCCAATCGAAGACCAGTGTTTAGGGGTGGGAAGGCCAGGCAGTCAGTGGCCAGGGACTGTCTGTCCTGTTTTTACACTGCACCCTGTGGGAATGACAAGTGTGGGAATCTTGGTTGACCACACTCAGGTGATGTCTCACTCAGCAAGGAGCCCTCAGACTTGAACTGGCCTCTGAACTGGCCTCTTAACTTAGCTCTTGAACTGAACTGCCGCTTAACCAGTGCTTCTTAACCTTCCTCATGCTGTGACCCTTGACCCCCCATCATAAAATTGTCTCCTTGCTACTTCACAACTGTAATTTTACTACTGTTACGAATCATAATATAAATATTGTGGAAGACAGAGGTTCACCAAGGGGGTTGCGACCCACAGGTTGAGAGCCTCTGAGCTACACCATATGAGAGAATAGGTTTGTTTCAGAAGCTGTGGGCTTCTCGTTGTGTGTCTGACAAGTCTGCTGTGGACCTCGGGCTTTGAAGGGCTGCTCCTGCTGATTTGATAGAGTCAGTGACTGAGATTGTGAATCCAGAGGAAGATACCTGGGCTGGGAGGTAGTGCAGTGGTCGAGTGCTGGGCTCCAGTGCACAGTGCTGGGGTCCATGCTCAGTGCTGGAAAAGATTATTTTAAAAGGTGAATCGTGTATCATGAGCTTGACTGTGTACTGCCTCTCTTGGTGCTTTCCACAGTTCTCTGTCTCCCCGTGTCTCCCTCCTTCCGCTGACGTCATACCTCCTGCCTGACCAAGATGAAGGAAGCCTGACTCTAAAGACACTTCTCCCTTTTCTCCTAGGATACTTGGGATGAACTCCTAATTGGTGATGTAGAGATGAAGAAGGTGTTGAGCTGCCCCAGGTAAAGTCGTGGCTTAGGCATGGCTGCTGGGGTGTTTGGCTTGTGGCCATCATCTAATCGTGGGTCTTTGACAGGTGCATTTTGACCACAGTGGACCCAGACACTGGAATCATAGACAGGAAGGAGCCGCTGGAAACCTTGAAGAGGTAGGACACCAGTGTGTCCCTGTGTGGATGTCACCTGTGCCCAGGACCAGCACCAGGTGCTTATGTCCTAACTCCCAGGCACCCCTTTGATTTGTATCAGTCATGTGAGTTTCTTCCCCTTTTAGATCTTTAGTTTTCGGACACATTTTTAGTTGTACAGTATTCTATTTTGAAACTTTAATCTCTCATCAAGTTCGTGTGTGTGTGTGTGTGTGTGTGTGTGTGTGTGTGTGTGTATGCTTGGAGGCCAGATGTTGACACTGGATGATTTCCTCAGTGGCTTTTCACTTTTTGGTTTGTTTTATAGTAGATTTCTTTTCTCATTTAAAAACAAGTCATTTTTATTTAACTTTATGTGCTTTGGTGTTTCACCTGCCTCTGTGTCTGGGTGAGGTTGTTGAATCCCCAGGAGCTGGAGTTACAGACGGTTTGAGCTACCATGTGGATGCTGGGAACTGAACTCAGATCCTCTGGAAGAGCAACCCATGCTCTTAACCATTGAGCCATCTCTCCAACCCCGAGATTATTTGTTTATTTTGTTTGTATTGTGTTTTGCCTGCATGTATGTTTGTGTCAAGGTGTCAGCTCTTGAGAGTTAACAGACAATTGTTAGCTGCCATGTGGTTGCTGGGAATTGAACCCAGGACCTCTGGAAGAGCAGTCAGTGCTCTTAACTACTGAGCCATCTCCCCAGCCCCTAGATTTATTTTCAAAGGGCAGAACTCCTCGACGTTCCAGCCATTGTTCTCTGAGTTCCCTGGGTGAGGACAGGTTTCCACACTTTATACCTATTCAGCCTTCTTACCTGAAGTGTCATGCACAGTTCCTTATGGACACATTAACTTCTCTCTGAAATCTGGAATTTCAAACTTAATCCATATTCCACGGCCGCAATAGTCTTAACTCGATCCAAACTGTCTAAGCCCAGATCTTTAGAAACTGCTACATGACTGAGAGTTTCCCGGGCCACTCTTAGAGTCCCAAGGCATAGAACTTGGTCCCTGATTCCCTCTAATGTCAAAGAAGTGTGTGTCATTATACTGAGAGTAAAAAATGTGTGTCCCTCAGGGGCACCGTGCCAGTGCCAGAGACTGGCTGTGTAAACCTCTTCCTGCAGGGGCACAAGCGGTGCTGAGTGGCTGGTCCAGGGCCAACTTGGGAGCAGGGACAGCAGCAAGGAGGTGAAGACCCACAAGCTGCCATGGCTAAGCCAACCCAGGATGCACTTCACTTTATGTGGGCGATAAGGCCTGGAACTTGCCAGTGAGCTCCAGGCATCACCTGTCCCTGGCTCTCTGGGCGAACTCTTCGGGCTTTTCCTGGCTACTGGAGATCTGTGCCCCCGCCCTTGCCTTGCACAGTGGCCACTTTACCAGCCGAGGTGTCACCCAGCCCCTCTCATCAGTTTCTAGTAATTCAAGAGGCCCCGGGTTCTGTTTCAAACATTGCAAAAAAGGAAAAAGGACATAAAAAGACCTTTGTTAACATTTTTTGGGGGGTGGCTGTGTTTTGCTTGCCCTTCCTCTGTTTTGTTGTTTGTTTCTGACAGGTTTAGAGGTTATCTCATGAGGCCTTTGGATTTGCAGTTCTATTTTTGTTCTCTGCTTTAAAAAATACAGTGAAGGTGATTTTCTTCAGCTAACTTGGACTTCATGAGCAGTCCTATCAGCCAGTGGCATCTCTGCCTTAATTTTTGTTTACAGGGAAACCTCCAATTTTTAGCCTTAATGCTGGAGAAGTTGGAAGCATAGGGAGTAAATGCCTTGAACCACAGCTTTGATAAAAAAAAATCCTGACAAAGGCAATTTAAGGAAGAAAGGTTTATTTTACCTCACAATTCCAGGCTACAGTGCATCATTGTGGGGACATTAAGGCACGACTTAAAACAACCGCATCCCACCCATAGTTACCAGCAGAGAAATGAGTGCAGGCATGCTTGCCTGTGCTCAGCCTGACTTAGATATTCAGGAGCCCCTGCCTAGGGAATGTTGCCTCCCACGGTGGGCTGGGTAACTTAAGACCTACCCACAGGCCAACCCAGTGTAGACAATCTCATTGAGACTCTCAGGTAGTTCTTATATAAGGTGAGTCAACACAGTCGGGGAGGGGTTGTTCTACTTTGTGCTTTCATGAGCATTTTTTCCCCGTGAGTTGTGAGTCCCAGGTACCTATGTAATAAAGTATTTGTACAATACTTACACAAACCCACACTTAACCCTTATTAATATTGTAGTTATTATTATTATTTTGGTTCTTTTACAGACAGGGTTTCTGTAACTCTGGCTGTCCTGGAACTTGCTCAAACTCAAACTGCCTTTAGGAAATCCCTGATTATCTGGCTACTTGCTTACAGCCATCCCCGGCCACTTTTAGAAAGCTTGTTGTTGACCCGTAATTACCTAAGGAGCCAACGTCCAAGTCCTGTAGAAAACATTAGACTCCTGTTTCCTTTGGGGGCCTGATGATGTTTCTGACTTCTTTCAGCTACCGCCTGTGTGACCCCTCTGTGAAGAGTTTGTACCAGACGTCCCCCCTTTTTGGGATGTATTTCTCAGTGGAAAGAGTTGGAAGCCTGAGAGTTGGTGACCCCGTGTATCGGATGGTGGATTAACAGGCCCAGTGGCTGACATGGTAAAAGTTTCATTCCCTTCTAGAGCTCTGTTTTGACAGCACAACCATATTTCCTTGTTTTCTGATGCTTTAAAATTTCTAAAAATATTTTGCCCATTGGTGGTGGTGGCACATACTTTTAATGCCAGCACCTGGGAGGCAGAGGCAGGTGGATCTCTGAGTTCAAGGCCAGCCTGGTCTACAGAGTGAGTTCCAGGACATCCAGAGCTACACAGAGAATCCCTGTCTGGAAAAAAACAAAACATTACTGACAACAAAAGGGGAATAAGAAATGAGGGCAAATGACCCTCTAGGGTTAGGTGTGTTATTTTTTCTGTGTTGGGGGTGGGTGGGTGGAGATTGAAAGCCAGTGTTTTATCAGACATCTCTTAAATATAACTTAAAGAAAATAATCAGTGTGTCAAGATGACTAGATCATGATGCTGATGTAGGAAATAATATTCTTATACTGATTGCATCAGGTCAGCTCGAGCCCTGAATCCTATAGACAGAGCTGAACCCTCAGTTATAGGAATGAGGAGTCATTGGAAGACCTTCCCTTGAAGGCTCTAAACAGCTCCCCTTGCAAAACCTGTTAACCAACCTCCCTGAAGCAGTGTGTGTGTGTGTGTGTGTGTGTGTGTGTGTGTGTGTGTGTTTAAGATTTACTGATTTTTATTTTATGTCTGAGTGCTTTCCCTAAATGCCTGTATAGACATGGTATATATACAGTGACTGCAGAGGCTAGAATCGGGCATTGGATTCCATGGAACTGGAGTTACAGATGGTTCTGAACTGCCGTGAGGGCTCCTCAGTAAGAGCAGCCAGTGCTCTTAAAGCCTCAGCCCCCTATTACGTACTCCTTAAAGTCCCTCATGGCTGAAACCTTTGATTGACACTTTTCTAATTCTTCCGTGGGATTCTTACATACGGTGACCTCTCTGCAGCCTTGCCACCTGCCCATGTGACTGACCATCTGTCTTAGTTAGGGTTTCTATTGCTGTGAAGAGACACCATGACCGTAGCACCTCTTATAAAGGAAAACATTTAATTGGGGCTGGCTCACAGTTTCAGAGGTTTAGTCCATTATCATCATGGGGAGCACGCAGGCAGACATGGTGCTGGAGAGGGAGCTGAGGGTTCTATATCTTTTTTGTTGTTGTTGTTGTTGTTGTTTTGTTTTTCAAGACAGGGTTTCTCTGTAGCTTTGAAGCCTGGAGACTAGGCTGTCCTCGAACTCACAGAGATCCACCTGCCTCTGCCTCCCAAGTGCTGGGATTAAAGGCGTGTGCCACCAATGCCCGGCAAGGGTTCTATATCTTGATCCTCAGGCAGTAGCAGGAGTTTGTGTTCTCTACTGGGCATGGCTTGAGCACAGGAGACCTTAAAGCCCACCTCCACAGTGAGGCACTTCCTTCAGCAAGGCTATTCCAGCAAAGCCACACCTCCAAATAGTGCTTCTCCCTATGAGGCCATTTTCTTCCTAAACGCCACACCATCCTAAGGACAGAGTTCCATAGTGGCTCCTGCAGATCAGTTGTGACAACAACTACATTGGGGTTCATCCTGAGCTCTGAGTCTCTATGGACTGCAAATAGGAAATAAGGGTTGTCCTCACCAAAACATTTAATGAGAGTTACTTTGCTATTAATTTATTATATCAGAGTGTAATATAAACATAAAGGTACTTAATAAACATTAGGTGTGACTCTTTCATTGCCCTTTTGGACTGTAGCGCAGCTTTAAGGGCCACTGTGGTGTAAATACGAGACAGGAAATGTGGGAAATGAAATCAGCATCCTTTGACTACCGTTGTGGGGTTAAAAACCCAGAGACCATGCAGCATGACCAAAGGTTGAATCCAGAGTCTCTGTTAAACCAGCCAGGAGAGAAACACTTCTCACAGAGCAGCCACGAATGCATGTTGCAAAGGGGTTTTAGAGACAAAGAACACAAACTACATGAAATTGCAGGGAGAAGCAAGCAAGCAAGCAGTCTGACAGGAGCCAAGAACAAGCAGTTAGCTGGGACATTTCCACCCTGGTGACTAAGCATTGGAATATATGAGCCTATGGGGCCATTCTTATTCAGACCAGCATACTGGGTGGGTTTCTATTGCTGTGATAAACACCATGATCAAAAACAACTTAGGAAGAAAAGGGTTTATTTTGCTTCCACTTAAAAGTAACACAGTCCATTGCTGAGGAAGTCAGGGAAGGAACTCAAGCAGGGCAGGAACTGAGGGAGAGGCCATGAAGGAGCACCGGCTCACTCCTCATAGCTTGCTCAGCCTGATTCTCTCTCCCTCTCTCTTAGTTTTTGTTTAGTTATGTTTTTCTACACAGGGTCTATCTGTGTAACAGTTCTGGCTGTCTTGGAACTCACTTTGTAGATCAGGATGGCCTCCAACTCACAGAGATCCTTCTGCCTCTGCTTCTGCCTCGTGCACCACCATGCCCAGCTAAGCCTATCTTCTTACACAACCCAGGACCATCACCTCAGAGGGCACCACCCAAAATGGGCTGGGCCCCCACACATCAGCCATTGATCAAGACAACGCACCAGACATGCCCACAGGCCAGTCTGTTGGCAGCAGCTTCTCAGCTGGGATTCCCTCTTCCCAAATGACTCTAGCCTGAGTCAAGTTGACATAAACTAGCTAGCACACTGAGCTCCACAAGATCTATCTGAATCCCTCTCTGAGGGCACAGCCCCAGTGATATAACACAGAAACAAGTGATGGTGACAGAGAAGGCTTGTAGATTCAAGATACCTTTATTCAGATAAATACCAGCCAAGCGCAAGCCAGAGCGTGCCCACAGGTCGCAAGCTAGCATGGCCAGAGAGAAGGGCCTTTCTATGTGTGTGCCTGGTCCCTTAAGAATTGTCCCTGCGTCATCCTGGACCTCCCCTGACCACGCCCTCATGGGCGTGTCCAAGCGTACCTGTCAGGGCTACTAGGAGGCGGGGCTACAGTGTCTCCCTACACCCCAGTGACCTAATAAACCCTCACCAGGTCCCACCTCGTTCCCATGTTACATGAGCCTCCGTAGGGCACGGTCTGACCACAGCCCACAGCATCAGGTAAGAAAGGCCCCTTCTCAGGATCCTGGTGGGCACCCATCTTCACAAGCAGCTCTTTACTGCAATGGTTGTTCTTGCTTGTCAGAGTTTTACATCCCCTGCATTTTAACCTCAGTAAGTAACTGCTTTATTCAAGTGTGAATTATTTATGACCAATAGTCTGAGTAAGAAAATAATAGAGATCTTATTGTGTGTTCAGCTTCCAGGTCCTAGGAGATATTTTTGCGAGTCCTTACTGCCAGCCATGACTGTCTTCCTGGAAACGAGCCTCCGTTTTTCCTTCAGAGCTTCCTGTGTCCTGAGTTAATTTGAGAAAGGACCAGAGGTGGTTTGGGAATGTGAGGGCATATACATTTTAGATAATGATGTTTTTAAAAATAAATGAAATTGTGTATGCAATTATTCTGAATGGCCCTCCCACTGTCACTGTTTTCTGATTACTGCCTTTAATATTGCTGAGTAAAGAAAGTTTAGAGTCAACTTAAAGGCTGCCAAATTTAAAAAGATGTTTATACTCTTTATAGGTATATTGTGTGAGAGAAGCAGGAAAACGAGTCATATCCTGATGTCTATGTGCTAACGTGCTCATATGCAGACATGCTCACATGCTGACACGCTCACTGCTAACATGCTCACATGCTAACATGCTCACTGATGGCCTGTTCTTGATCTTGATGTTGAACCCTGCTTAGTTTTGATTTATGACTGTCTCTGCCTTACTGTTATAAAGCCAGGATTATGCTTAAATATAGAAATGATTTCATAGATCGTGGGGTTATTTTGTTTATAGATGGTGTCTTTATGTTTCTTTGGGATTCTATTAAGACATACAATTTACCTCTAATTGTCAATTCCTCTAATTCTGCAAGAAAATAGAATTTAAAAGACTAGAATCTTCAAAAGTAGGGGTAAGCAGGAGAAACCATGAACACATTTTTAATGTTCAAATCTATTTTTCATAACAAAGAAAGATGAACTAGATTGCTGTAACAATTAACATATAAATGAGTTGCCCTCTTAAACTTGTGTGGTTTCTTTGTCATTGATAAGTGTGGGTTCCCTCCTACTTCATCTGTGACATCTGCTTCTGCGTGGCTGTCACTCATCTTCCCTGGGTTCCACACATTGCCTCTTGCCACAGGTGTGTCCAGGCGCCCTGAACTGCGTGAACATGACTGTCTAAGCCAGTGTTCTCAACATAGGAGCTGCAACCCCTTGAGGTGTCGCCCGATCCTTTCACAGGGTCTGTAACCCCTTGAGGTGTCGGCCGATCCTTTCACAGGGTCGCAGATCAGATACCCTGAATAGCAGATATTTACATCCAGTTCATAACAGAAGCAAAATTACAGTTATGAAGTAGCAATGAAAATAATTTTATGGTTGGAGGGGGTCACCACAACACGAGGAACTGTGTTAAAAGGTTGTAGACTCTAAGACATTATGGCCTGAGTTCAACCCTCCCCTCTGGAGGAAGGCAAGATGTATCTTGGGTACAATTTGGACATGACAAATTTTTTAAAGTCATACTCGGTTGAAAGTCGGCCACTAAATCTTAAGCCATTTCCCCCATTACACTTCCAAGGAGGAACAGGAAGGACGATAAACACACTCAGCTCTTGGTATACCTCCCAGGCGCCTTTCTAATGAGAATTCGGAACCGCGCCTGGTCCCCAGTGGCACACGTCACTGCTACAGCAGCTCCAATTCTCTGGGACAAAAATCCCCAAGAGTTCCATCTGTGGTCACTCTGCTGCACTCGTGGGCAGGGTGCCACGTGTGGGGACATGTGGCAGAGGGAGCTGGTGGGCAGGAAGGGTCCAGGCGCAGCACCCGCCCCACCCCAGGAGACTAACTTCCTCAGCCTTCTCAGATAGGGTCACCAGCTGGGGACATGAGAGCTAGAGAGTGACTTTCATGTTCAACCACAATAAAGAGCAAGACGACCGGCTAGCTGAGCGCAGTGCCTTCAGAAGTTTGGGTCTTGTGGGAGTGAGGTTTGGCAGAAGGTGGCTGGGCGTTGAGCAAGAAAAGGTATTTAGGCGGATGACAAGAAACTGTTGCAGGACAGATACTGAGTGATAGGCGGTTTTTGTATCCCCGGTAGTAGGTTTCTCCGCTGATGTTGTAAGCCAAATGGAGGCAAATTAAAAAGTGAAGGACTGGGCTTAATCTGAGAAAAGCAGAAGAGAAATCACGTGGAAGGTCTAGGGACCTGAGTTAACCCGTAGGCGTGGTCTTGAGCTTTGGGGGAGGAGCCTGAACTTTTGTCGTCTTTCTGAGGGGGGGGGGGCAGGGTTTGGAGAGGGAGGAGTGGGGCTGAAGCGAGTTTCCAGCCAAACACCGAGTACCAGAGGGGCCCAAAGGGAGCTGGCAGCTGAGGAAGGAGTGTCCCAAACCGGAAGCAAAAGCCAATGCATGCCTGCTGGCCTCTTCGTTCTCCACTCCTACACAGTGGCCTCTCAGGGAGTCTACAGGGACTCCAGCTCTGCCCCGCGTTGCTTGGCCTCAGCTGCCCTCCATAACAGCCTCACTCTTGCATCTCTCAGGCCAGTGTCGCATGAACATGAGTTCTGGGGACTGTCTCTTCTCCACTCCAAGATGCTGTCCAGCAGCAGGACATTCTGGTCAAGGTGTGATCCCGCCCATCAGAGTCTGAGGTCCTGAGAACCCTGTCAGACAGGTTCCACCTCTTGCTGGCACTAGGCTCTCAGCCTATTCCTTCTCTCAGCCTGAGACTTAGGATGGGGTGGGAAAGGAGGGATTTCCAGTTTCTTGGGGTCCATTGTTTCAATAGTCTGATGGGCAGAGCTAGGGCAAAGCTCTTTAGAGAAACCTTCATTCCTGCCTCACACCTTCCCGCTGACCTCTCCCCCTTGGCTGTAAAATCCCTTTAATACAAAGTCTAATCACTCTGTGCTGTCTTCGTAGAGAATAGCTTTCTCCCTGTTAGAATAGTCTAGAACAAAGACTTGGCCTTTCAGCAACTTCACAGTCAACCAGGAGCCTGGGGCGCCTGAGGTACCTTGTTGGCCTTGGCTTTGTTGTGTAAAATATGCTGGCATTTGGGAATGACAAGTGTCAGAAGCCACCT